CTGAGTTGCAAGATTTCATGCAAACTAGCACTCCAAGACCAAAAAGAGTGGTGGTGGTGGTGGGGAGAGGTAGGATGACGGGTAGGTGGATGGATGGATGGAAGGAAATAATATGAATAAATATACTACCAATTTTATACTTTATGTGGTTTCCTTGCTGTGTGCCCCTCTAAACTCAAATGTAGAAACTCTAATGCCCAAAGTGGTGGTATCAGGACATAGGGCTTTTTGGGAGGCAATTACCTCATGAGAGCTGAGTCCTCATGAATGAAATTAATGCCCTTATAAAAAAGGCCTCACAGAGGCTCCTTTTATGAGAAGTCTCTACAGCACAGAAGAGGGCCCTCATCTGACCATGACAGCATGACCTTGGACTTCCAGCCTCCAGAACTGTAGAAATAAATTTCCGTTGTTTATATGCCACCCAGTCTGTGGTATTTTGTTACAGCAGCCTGGATGGACTAAGATACTGGCTTATAAGAAACATATAAAAACTAATCCATATTAATTAAATCTAGAACGCGTGTCCTGTAGTTCCCCTCCCTCCCTTCCTTCCTTCCTTCCCTCCTTTCTTCCTGAAGGCGGGGCTTGAACTTGAGACCCCGAGATCACTCCCCGAGCTGAGATCAAGAGCTGGACACTTAACTGACTCAGCCACCCAGATGCCCGTAGTTGTACTTTTTTCTACTTTCCAGAGAAAAAATCCCTATTTTAGTAGTCCTTATTAGGATTTTTCATGGGTTGGTCCCTTATATTACACCATAAACACTGAAGGTCGTAGAATGAACTTGACTGAGCGTGTAAGGACAGGGTTATTTCACTCAATTTTATGTCCTCGGCACTAAGGGCAGCCTTTAAGGCAACATATGTAAGCTATCAAAGAAAAGCCACGTTCACCGAAAGGAGAAGATTAAAACAACAGAGGCAGAAGTCTGTCATTGAGGATTGGGTCCAGGTGCACTCGTAAACCTTCCCAAGAGGCTCAACCCCACCATTATCTTGGTATTTTAAAAGGCCCATTCAGAAGACTGGCTGCAAACACAATGGGATGCTAAGTGAGATCTCCCCCTCTGATCTCAGAAACCATCTGCCTTGGCTCCAGAGCAATTATTTATAGCAGATAGGACTGATGTGGTGTCAAGACCAAGTCCCAGAGGCTCAATTCCTCCAAAGATGGCAAACGTATCTGTTGGATACACAACAAAGAGGGCCCAGAAACCCTAATTGGGCGGCTTGGAGCAGATGCTTAAGAAGGCTCACCAGCACTCAGAATGTGCTCTTCCCCACCCCGCCCCCATTGGAGCTGAACTGAGGGTGCGTCACAAAATCAAATGTGCAAAGACATGTGCAAAGGTACTTCAGTCAGTGGATCAACGCTGTCCACAATTTCCCTTCAGATGCTCTCATCTTCATTTGCTAACTTCCGGCTGGCTGGCAATCTAGCATTCCATGCCTCAACTGGATAATGGAACCTGGAGTGTCAACGAGGCTGCATAGTCCATGTCAAAATTTGGAAGGACAAACAGATCTCCACTGTGGTCAACAACGCTTTTACTTGTTGAAGCACCTTCCGCCCGCCCCTGCTGTTCAGCTTCACCAAAAACGACACGGCTATATATAACTCCTGAGTTGAACTTACAGCTTTTGACGAGGTACCTGAGGTTAAGAAATAAAAGCTGTGTCCCATTTCTCATTTTTAAGTGGTACTTATCCTTCCAAGGACAATGGGATTTACAGTCTCATAAGGCAGAACTATAGATTACGAACTTCAGAATGCTCTTGAAGAATTTTTTTGGGGGGATAGGGAGTGGATGGGGCTGCCTCATGGTGGCCAGAGAAGCAGAAGAGAGCATGGTAGCTAGCAAACTGCCTCAACAGGAAGCAGTAGGTGATGTAAGCAGTGGAAGCCCCCAGGCCGGCAGCCGGGAGCACCAGTGTGGGCAACAGGGAAGACCGCAGAGCAGCACGGGCGCAGTCACCCAGGTTTTCTAACCCACCCATGTAAAGCCAAATCAGATTAATAACAAAGCAAAAAAAAAAAAAAAAATCAGCTAATAAACTCATTCAGCTGGGCAAAACATGCTATGGGATCTCGTATTGGAAAAAAAAATTCCCTATTTCCTTCAGGGAATCTGGTTCTGCCTTATTTGAAGTGGTACAGACTTAGATTTGCAAAAGATAAATCAGAGGGTTACATCTTCATGAAAGAATTCACTACAGAGTTTCCTTAAAATGTAATTTCCCTGGTTCATTTCAAATACAGATTTATAGAAATTCAGTTTTTTCAATATTCAGGAATATCTCTTTGGAAAAATCAGAAAACAGGCTCTAGAAGGGAGAAAAAGCCAATATCCAGGGTCGGCCAATAGTTTCTGCATACTACCCCAAAGACCTTGGGATGACAATTTATATATAATATGCTTTAAAAATATTTGGTACGTATATATATTCACTTCTTTACGGCCCCCGAACTTTTCTGCATTTCTCATTATCTGGCTTCGAAAGATCTGTTCAGCTTCTGTCACTGAGGCAAGGGGCAAAACTTTTCTTCAGAAGTTTCCCTTCAAGTGGTGTGGTCTAGGCAATATTTTTAAATCGTATTTAAATCTCACCCCACAAGAGGGTGGGAGCTACAAATGGCTACTGAGCTAGTTATCTCCAGGTGTTCACAGTTTCATCCAAGCTCACGAACAAATATCCTTATGTATGCACGAAGCCATACACAGCAGGCCCTGCCTGCACAGGCAAAGGGAAAAAATTTCAGGAAATAAATTATCCTGACCTCAGGGGAGAAGTTATAGAAATACTTTAATCAAGCGGATGGAGATAAAATCCTTTAATAAATAAACCCCAGCATCTAAGCACAGTCCTGTTTAGGTCGTGCACTAGCGGGGTATGTAGTGCTGTCTTTGCTAGATCGGGTGGGACAGGAGTGTGGGAGGAAGGGCTGAGACCAGGGGGCTGGCAGAAGGCACCGAGACCCAGATTTCCGCTGCACTGTGTGGTTCTTGAGATGCCTAGCACTTTGGGGGCCTCATAGGTACTACAGAAAAATACAACGGGATCTCCTTACTTCCTGACAATACTAATGTGGAATTATCATACTCTGGACAAAAACGAAAATTATTTTTACTCATCATATTACACGTTTTATCTGTAAGTCTGGCATATGTAATCTATTCCTTATTAAATAAAAAGGGGCAAAAGAAATACCAAAATATTCATTTAAAAACGTATTTATTAAGAGGAAGACCCTTCTCTAGGGAGAGCAGGATGGGTTTGGAGGGCAGGGCTAGGGCAAAAGGGTTGGAGGAGGATTTGCTTTCTACCTTACATCCTTTGTATCAATTTATCTGAGCATAATATGTATGCATGACCTATTCAAATATATACGCACTGATTCATCACTGATTCATCATTCATCATTGATTTTTATAAATCAAAACACAGGAAGTTTAAAAAAAATGGTAATGAGCAGTTGCGGCTGCCTCCCGGAACAATTTGTTACTTAAACTGTAACCCATGGAGGATTTTACTAGTTACCAAGCACATTTAGATATGGCCTTAAGAAATACATATACTGGCAACAGGTCTTTGGGGAGAAGGACGATATATGACCGTGAAGCTGGGCAGCTGGGGATGCCCAGGTCGCTCAGGGCGGAACGCCGCCCCTTCACAGAAGCTGGGCAGCCGGGAACGCCCCGCCCGCCCAGGGCGGAATGCCGCCTGCTTCAGGGAAGCCGAGCACACGGGAATGCCCAGTCAGCTCAGGGTGGAACCAAAACCGCCTGCTTCCCTTTTCCGTTATCTCTCCTTTCTCATCCCAGAAACGTCCGTTGTTAGTTAGGTGTGTCCTTTGAATATGCTTGGTTAACTATAAACTTTATCCTCCTCCTCGCTTTTGTCTGCAAGACATGTGACTGATGTTTGACCTTCATCGGTCCTTCTGTTGGCTATTGTTTCTATCCAATAAAAGTGAGACTGTGGAGTTGCTCGGAGCAGCAGTCATTTTTGACTGTTGTCCCCTGCTCCCAATTTCTTGCAGCTGATTTGTTTGTGCCTAATTCTTCCCCCGTCGCCGACTGAAAGCGGCAGGCAGTAACACCCAAATATACTAAACAGGGCACCTGAGTGGCTCAGTGGGTTAAGCGTCTGACTCTAGATTTTGGCACAGGTCATGATCTAGGGATTGTGAGATCAAGCTCTGAGTGGACGGGAAGGCTGCTTAAGATTCTTTCCCTCTGCCCCTTCCTCTCTCTCCTACACACACACACACACACACACATGACACACTGAATCCTCAAAGATCTGTCATCCAAGCAAAAACATTCGAGACTAATTTTTTAAAAAATTATGAGTAGACATGAACATGGTTAGAATAAAGCAAAACCTAAACTTATGCTAAAATAATTGATACATATTTTTATCTAGCATTCCATGAAATAATAATGATGACCATAATAATGACAGTTCATACTTACTTTATACTTAGCATGTAGCAGACACTGGCCTAAATTGTTGTTTTTTTTTTTATTGTTTAGTTCATAATTTAGCAGATTTTAGAGAGAAAGGGTGAGTATGTGTGTGAGCTGGGGGAGGGGAGGAAGGAGAGAATCTTAAGCAGACTCCATGTTGAGCGCGGAGCCTGACTTGGGGTTTGCTCTCACAGCCCTGAGATCATGACCTGAACCCAAATCAAGAGTTGGGACACTTCACCACTGACTGGGCCACCCAGGTGGCCCTAAATCCTATTATAATATTTCTAAATGTGGCTACAATGTTGTTGATCTAATAAGCATTTATTAAAAAAATACTCAATGTAGAGAAAATCCTGGAACACTGAGAAAAACTTCAAAGCTGGCCAGAACATACATGCGTGTCTGTAATTACGTTTTCTTCCATACCACGAAGAAACCAAGTCTTCCACAGAAGTGATAAAGGCCAGAATAAGGCTCAAAAAAAACTGTGACAGCGGATACACTTCACTTCTAGGAACTTACCAAAGGCGTGTCTTTTCCTCCCACAATGCTGAGACCAAGACCTGAACGTCCCTTGGATATTTCTATAATCATCTCCTGGCCAGGAACAATGGGACATGTGGCAGGGTCCACTGACAGAGGGGCCTGGAAACCACCTGGAGAAGGACGAAACAGAATGGCGGGCAAGTAAGAGAGGCAGCCCAGTGCACATACTGCATTAGTTGGGGAGTACATGGTTTGCACGTGTCTGTCATTTCACTCTTTTCCTGCTAAGCACCCTGGAGGAAAGACCTGGGTCCTTCACGTTCATTCAGGAAGTGATGAAACCTGACATTTTTGGGATGAAAACAGTAACTACCCTCCTTACTCAACTATTTTAAGTATACTTAAAATTTTTTTAGTCTTAAAATATACCCTGAAAACTCGTACAGTAAGATGTAAGATGATTAAGAGCTGCCTGGGTGGCTCAGTTGGTTAAGCAACTGCCTTCGGCTCATGTCATGATCCCAGAGTCCCAGAATTGAGTCCCACATTGGGCTCCCAGCTCCATGGGGAGTCTGCTTGGGAAGCAGACTCCCTCTGACCTTCTCCTCTCTCATGCTCTCTCTTACTCTCTCTCACTCTCTCTCTCTCAAATAAATAAAATCTTTTTAAAAAATGTAAGATGATTAGATAATTAAGCACATACATATGTATGTTATAATGAAAATAAAGACTGCTATGACAGAAGATTCTGAGTTATAGTTAGAAGATACTAAGAAGAATTAGTGCTTAAACACTCTCAATTAGAGCATATCACGAATTAAGATATATAAAGGATTTCATCAATAAAGTATGATGTGGCTGAAAATAAGAATTATCTAACAACGATCCCAAAATATATACATGGTTAAAAAAAAAAGTGACATAAATACAACATTCAAGAACTGCTGGGTCTATAGCTGAAAAACTTGTTACTGCTATTTTATAAAGATTTACTTTTTACTTTTTAGCTCTATTGACTGAGCCAGCCAGGTGCCCCAAGGTTTACTTTTTAAAATCGTTGTTTTATTTTATTTATTTAATTTTCTTAAGTAGGTTCCACCCGCCAGTGTGGAGCCCAGCATGGGGCTTGAACACACAACCCTGAGATCAAGACGTAAGCTGAAAACAAGGGTCTGTCACTTAATGGACTAAGCTACGCAGGTGCCCCTAAATCATCATTTTAGATTGGGTTTCTCTAAAAAATGAGTGGGAAAAAAAATATTTACTGGCTAGGAAAAGATGTTTAATACAACCCTTTTATCTAGCATAACTTCTGCATGTGTGCATTTTCCAAGTGACTGAACCTAACCAATTGAACAATCAAAATATTCAAAATGTTAGTTTCAAGAGCTTCTTGTACAATAACAGGCTCCAGAGATGATTATCTTCTTTGACAACTAAGTTTGATTATTGTGAGTACCCATTCTTACGCTGGGGAACAGCTTAGTTAAGGGCTGATAATAAAGGGCCCCACCTGCTGGTCAGCGGCAGCTAATGCACAGGGCCCAGCCTGGGTTTCACAAAGCCCATTAAACAGCTGCACAAGTGCGGGCCCCCAAATCCTGGCCTGCAAGCTAAAAATGATTTTCACATTTTCAAAAGTTTGAAAAAAAAAAAAAAAGAAAAGTAACATTTCAAGACATGTGAAAATTACATGAAATTCAAATTTCAATGTCCATAAATGAAGTTGTATTGGAACACAGCCCTGCTAATCCATTTACTTCCAGTCTACGGCTGTTAGCACCCTGCGACAGCGGAGCTGAGTCGTAGCAACAGAGACCATATGGTCCGCAAGACTTAAATATTTACTATCTGGCTCTTTACAGAAAAAGTTTGCCAATCCCTGATATTAAACAAAAGGAAACAGGCTCTAGGTAAGCCTGTGGAGGGTTCTGCTCTGACTCAGTAATAGTAATAATAAAGCAGGTTCTGGAGTGGTGGGGACATGCATTTAAGCTCCCAAGAAGGGAATTAATAGGTGGGTGAAATGGAGGCTCATTCTTCAGCCAAAAAACGCATGTAACGAGCTGCGTTCTAATAGGAAGTAAATGAACAATGTGTGTGAGGTGCCCAGTCCAGCAGCGGGCGTAACGTGGCAGGCATACAGTTACTCTTTCTGACCACATGGAATTTATTAATCTAATGGCCTCCCAGTTAAGAGTGAGAAATTTAGTGATACAACCTCGGTAACAATAAAAAATGCCCTATGAGAAGGAGAATATTAAATTAGAAACCTAATTTGACTCTAGATCTTTTGGCAGCATATGCATTTCACACTCCATTTTCCGTTCACTTACACTAAAAACAACGTGCAATAGTGCATAATTTCATGAATGCTTTACAAAGTTTATCCTTCTGTAAATGACTAGTGTAGCCTCTTTTGTTTTTAAAGATTTTATTTATTTGACAGAGAGAGATCACAAGTAGGCAGAGAGGCAGGCAGAGAGAGGAGGAAGCAGGCTCCCCGCTGAGCAGAGAGCCTGATGGAGGGCTTAATCCCAGGACCCTGAGACCATGACCTGAGCCGAAGGCAGAGGCTTAACCCACTGAGCCACCCAGCCGCCCCTAGTATAGCCTCTTGAGTGAGAAGAGAGGACAGAGAGTTAGAGATGCTGGGGATGGCGCTTCTCTTCCTCCACTTCTGTCTCACCCTAGCCAGTCCTGAGTTAGGACTGGTATGTATTTTTCCCAGACAGCCCAGCCCGAAGCCTGACAGATCCAGCCCCCAATGTTCGGTAAGTAGAGGACCGAATGAGCAGAATTTCCACAGATTAAATAATGGGAGATTAATTTCTGTTACCAAGATAGAAATATGTGATGCATCTTATCAAAACTCAATGGGTCTACATGGTGGTTGCTGTCTTAGTAAAAGGCCAGGTGGTATTTTGAGCTTTACAGACCACACATTCCCTGCTGAAATAATCAATTCTATCCTTATTGTGTGACGGGAACCTTAGATAACAGGTAAACAAATGAGTATTCCAATAAAATTTTATTTGTGGACATGGAAGTCTGGATTTCAGAGAATTTTCATGAAATGTTCTTTTGACTTTTTCCAACCCCTTAAAAATATGAAAACCATTTTTAGCTTGCAGACCATACAAAAACAGATGGTGGGCCAAATCTGACCCATGGGTCATAGTCTGCTGACCACATTCATTAAGTATTTTAGCAAAAATCTAGTATTTTAGAATAATACCTGCTTGCTAAAGTTTTTGAGTTAATATTTATGAAAAAATATGCACAAGACAAATACCTAAAGGTGTCGGGCCTGTTAAATTCATGCAGGGGTATGCTTTGCCACTGGTGAGCACGTGTTTGATTTCTTGTTATTTTACAGACTTATATCATGTAAAAGCAAAGTGGAAATACTCATTATTCATTCTGAAATTCTATTTCAACTGCCAGTCAGCATAATTCATGCCAGGAATTCAAAGAGAGAAATCGAATACTCATGTCTTTAAGCACTGAAAATTAACAGTCTTCAAATAACTTACATCAACATATGCAAGGCTAACAATTTGACTGAATATGATTTTTAGGAGATAATACTCATATACCAAACACAATCTTTTGGAGAGATGACAGAATAATTTGTAAGCCTCACATGTAAACAGTATTTACCGAGGGCCTTTTTTGTTCTAGCACCTTCATGCTCAATAAACGACAGGCAACCACAGTAGCAGGTTGAGGAAAATGGTGGCCTGGACAAGACTTGGAGCTAAGGAAGCAGAGGAGGGGTACCGAGCCAGGCTTCCTGACTCCTGGTCCAGGGCGCTTTTCAGGATATCACAATTCCCTCCTTTTCTCATGTTGGAGGAGTCAATTCAGTTCGGCTCATGGAAAGAATCATACCATAGTTTGTGAAATCCGCATCCATTGAGTGGTACGATGGTGCTAAAGGGATCTCTTGTGAACTGAAGGAGACTTTTGCTGAATATTTTTGCTGCTGTTTCATCTGGCTGACAGCCTACAAAAGAAGGGAAAATTAGACGAATGTCAAAGAAGAGAACGAAAACCAAAGGATGAGGCTTTAAAACTGGTGTGTTGTCACCCAAACAAGGGTGGCACTCCAATAATGTCTTCTGAGAATTTAGAGTGGAAGAGGTGGCAGGAGGAAGTTAGGATGGTTTCTGTCCCATCCCCCATGCTTCCCTAATGAACCTGACATCTAAGATGCTTCAGTGAAGGACGGATGGAGGAAGGGAAGAAGGATAACAGCTGATGATACTCTATCATTGTGGTCTGTATATGATGCTGGGGCTGGGAAGCAGAAGAAAAATTTTTTCAGTTTCCATTGATTCTGATGAAATCGATGTGAAGTCCACATACCCGTGTTATGCCCACTGAAAAGCAATCCATGCTGCAGATGTTCTGAGCATACGACAATGTCCTTCTCTTCTGGATACATCCACAATAGTTAAATGCATTAGGCAGGTTAATTGAGCAACATGAGGGCCAGGCAGAGGAAACAAGCATCCACTGAAAGTCTACTAAGTGCCAGGTACACCAATGCCATTTTAATTCGCCCTAAAGAACAATACCTTATTCACCCTTGATTCCCAGTACCTGGAACATAGTAGACCCTCAATAAATGTTCGATGAATGAATGAGTCAATGAACGGATAGAGAAGAGCAAAATTAAAGACATGGAAACTCACAGCTGAAAATGAATTTGTACTTCAATAGAGGTACAGAGACCTTTGCTATGTGAGCTTTGGAAAGTTAACTCATAATTCTGGATTTCTGTGGATAATACCTCCAATGAATATTAGTATTAGAAAACCGAGGAAAACCAAAAGGATTCCATGCTCGCTTAACAGGCAGTTAAGAAACATAGGTAGAGACCTGACCTGCCTTCTGGATCTGTAGTTAGCCAGGGAACCCATCCCCAGCTGGAAGATTCTGGTGGAGGCAGTGAAGCACCAGGCTGTCCCTGGAGTCTAGAAATAGGATCAAGGTAACTGCTCCAGAACAATGACACCTCAAGATTCTGGCAATGGAAGGCTGTGCCTCAGTACAAGGCACGGTGCAGCATATAAAAACTACAACAACACCAGCCATTGTGTATCTGTGTTGTGCTTTCCCGTTTTTAAAAACGCTCTCACATCCATGAACTCTTTAAATCCTAAGAACAACCTGGAGAGTGAGATATTATTACTTTCTTTTCCAGACAAAGAAACCACTGTCCAGTAACATGTCTCAATCACAGCTATTTGGAGGAGGAGGTCAGATTAAAAGTCAGTAGTAGCGAAAGAATGTTACAAATTCTTTTTTTATTTTTATTTTTTAAGGATTTTATTTTTAAGCAATGTATCTACCCCCATTGGGGGCTTGAGCTCATAACCCTGGGATCAAGCGTTGTGTGTTCTACTGTCTGAGTCAGCCAGGCGCCCCAGATTTAAAATGTTTATCAAACCGCTGCTAGGCACTGGTTCTATGGATGTTGATTTTCTTTTCTGTAGTTTTTCTCGCCAACATTTAATAAAGACCATATACTTACTTTAGAAGACTTATTCAAAGACATATTTTCAGTGATTTAAAAAGAGGGAAGTGGATGGGGCGCCTGAGTGGCTCAGTGGGTTAAAGCCTCTGCCTTCGGCTCAGGTCATGATCCCAGGGTCCTGGGATCGAGCCCCGCATCGGGCTCTCTGCTCTTCGGGGAGCCTGCTTCCTCCTCTCTCTCTGCCTGCATCTCTGCCTACTTGTGATTTCTGTGTGTCAAATAAATAAATAAAAATCTTAAAAAAAAAAAAAAAATAAAAAGAGGGAAGTGGAAAAATGACAAATACGGGTTTACTACCAGAAAACTGAACAATGGAACCACCTAGATATCAATGACTCTGAGGACCATACTTTCCAGGGTCCTTGAAGCTAGATATGTCTGCAGACTAAGTTTTGGTCAGTAGATGTAAACAGATGTGAACTGTACAATTTTCAGGTCATTTTCTGCAGGATAAGGATCCTGCCCTCCTCTTCTCTCTAACTGGAATGCAGATGACAACTGCCCCAGCAGCCGTCTTAGACCAAAACTAGATGCATTTTTTTGAGGATGGTAATCAGATGCCTGAGTGTGTGACACTGGGAGATACCACATCATCCTCAGACTGATTGTGCCCATACTTGATACAGAAGAGAAACTTCTTATAGAGGTTGAACCTGATCTTAATTCATACAGCACTTATGTCCAACTTTTGTTTTCTATCACCTTTAAAAAGCACATCATTAATAAAGCTGCTAGAGTTCTTAGTGAAAAAAAATCATGTGATTAAAAAAAAAGATGTATTTTTTAAAATTTAATTTTATTTATTTGATAGAGCACAAGTAGGGGGAACGGCATGCAGAGGGAGAGGGAGAGGCAGGCTCCCTGCTGAGCAGGGAGCCCGATGTGGGGCTAGATCCCAGGACCCTGGGATCATGACTTGAGCCCAAGGCAGATGCTTAACTGACAGAGCCACCCAGGCGCCCCTTATTTTTTTTTTAACCAGTTTATTTAAAAAAAATTTTTTTTAAGATTTTATTTATTTGTCAAAGAGAGAGAGGGACAAAAGGCACAAGCAGGGGGAGCAGCAGGCAGAGGGAAAAGCTGACTCCCCGCTGAGCAAGGGGCCAGACACAGGACTTGATTCCAGAATCCTGAGATCATGACCTGAGCTGAAATCAAGAGTTGGACTCTTAACTGACTGAGCCACCCTGGCATCCCTATTTATTTGAGAGAGAGAACGCATGCCTAAGTGGGGGGTGAGGGGCAGAGGAAGAGAATCTTCAAGCAGACTCTTTGCTGAGCCTAGAGCCCTATCCAAGACATCATTACTTGAGCCAGAACCAAGTGTTGGACACCTAATTGACTGAGCTACCCAGGTACTCCAGAATCATGTGATTTTTAAATCAGTAATGTTTGTGCTAATCATTATATCCCAGATCTGGGTAGCATCCCACTGCATTGTGCATGATATGTTTCCAACAGATAGTGATAGGATTGAACTCAATTAAAAAGTAAGGAAACAGTTCACAGAAACCAAGTGAAACGTACAACATCTATTTTTAGAGGCTGACCTCTTGTTGGTGGGTGTGGTGATGGATGGGACATGTGGTCCTGTGACTCTTCCATTGGCACAAACCCAAACTACTAAGAATGAAAGATAGGAAAGGTTGGATTGGCTGTTTAATAGCTTCTATTCAAACATGAGAGTTGGAATGGACGTTCTAGGATATCCAACCTAACTAAACCAGTGGTTCTCAAATGCTGTCTTCATAACAGAAATTGTCAGGGACTAAATAAATCAGTACCTAGGTGGAGCCCAGGCAAGTTTTGTTTTGAGAGTTACTGCTTAAAGTTAAACAATGGATTCTTTACCCAGGGTTTCTAAGAGACCCACAAAGGGCATTTTGTGAATTATAAAAAATCCTGTGTTGTACCAAAATTATGTTTATCAGTGTTTTTCTGGGGAAAGAATCTACAGTTCATTTATGATGCAAAACAAAAATCACCGTTCGAAGAAGATATGAATTGTTGAGCTTGCTAGTGCTGACTAGTCGTGTGGCCAAAGGAGAGTCACCTCACCTCCTTATGGGTAAACTTTCCCATCTGTAAACTGGTAGTGGTATTTCTAAACTTTACAAGCTTGTTGAAAAGATCAAAGAGAGAAGAACATAAATAAACCTATCACTATGCCAGAACAGCTTAAGATTTCAACTGATAATAGCTATCAATGTCTTCATGTCTTTTGATAATAAATGACCAGCCAGCTGCTGATTAAAAACCATGTGGATGGTTTGGAACAGCTCAAGGGGTTGGAAGTTCTTCATAATGAGCTGACCCAGGCTCACAGCAGGTGTTGCCCACTGACCTCAGGTGGGTTCTCTGCTAGAGCTACTGACCCAGCCAGGCATCCCTACACCTACTCATTAAAAAAAAAAATTATTTTAGAGAGAGAACATGTGAGTGAGTGGGCGGCAAGGGAGAGTCTCAAGCAGCCTCCCCACTGAGCGTGGAGCCCAATGCAGGGCTTGATTCCATGAACCTGAGATGATGACCTGAGCCAAAATCAAGAGTTGGATGCTTAATGGACCAAGCCACCCAGGCACTCCTACACCTACTCATTTTTATTTGGGTTTTTAGTATGTAAGTTTGGAGACTTTTCAAATTTATTTTCTTTGGCAGTGTTTGAAATATCATGGAAGCTCTAGCTCCTTAAATTTAACAACAGCTGATGCAGTAATAATGTAAATTTTAGTAGCATGAAAGTATCACCTAGCACACAGAAATAAGAATCAAGATTTTAAAAAGAAAAAACTCAATACTAACAAAAGTACAAAAATTTGAGACAGAAATTTATAGTTTTTTTTTAAGAGAAGTTAATACAAAATGCAAGAACACCAAAGTTACTGTATTTATATTTTTATAGAATTACAAATTCTCTTACTTAAGATTTTTATTAATGACATTAAGTAAGACATGGTAATCTCAGAATTTACATATAGATGTGTTTGTAGGGATGGCTCACTTTTAAACACCTGCTCAGGGTACTGGCCCAGGAAAATGCACAGAGACGATTTCCACACACCTTGCCTAGAATCAATGATATTGCTGTGGGCTGACCTCCAATTCTAAGACACACCATAACCTCCCAGCAAGTTTCATTGCAATCACTTCCTTTCCCTTCTGGAACCCATTTATAATGCAAACTATCCCAGCAGAGCAAAACCGAGGGTGGAAATTACGTACATTGTCCGTTGGACACTCCGGTGCCTTCTGCTGGCCAGCCACCTGGGAGATGTCCTCCTGAAATAGAAAAGATACAGCCAGTTAGTGGCATTTCAGGGCTCAAATGCACTCTCCAACTTAGCAAACACCACCAGGCCACAAAAATGACCAAAGCACCAGTTTGTTCATCCATCTGAACAAAGTCTTGTTAATGAATGCACACTTGCCATGTCCAAATGTTTCTTTTCAGCCCTTTCAGAGCTATCAGGCTTTAAACTTATCAGATACCCACTGATGGTCACTTCAGCTAGAGTTTTTTTCTTCTTTTGCCATTCTAGTAACCTCTAAATTTGTATTTATATTGAATATTTAGTTCTTTCAGGGTTTGAACTCTGATATTAGAACTTTTTTCCCTGAAAGTCACCAAAGACACTGGAGGATACAGAGTTAAGTTAGCCCTGAATCCCACAGAAATGTGCAGAGTCCAGGTTTTAGAGAGAAGTAAACTGCCAAAACACACAGGAAACCAGTGCATACCTAAAGGGTGGTTTACTGACACCCAAAACATCGACCAGAATGCTTATGTCTGCCTCCCACCATATCCCATCCTTCTTTTCAGGCAAAGTCACAGGGGAAATTATCATCTGATGGTTTACTCTCAGGCATGAACTCCTGCACTTGGACTTGGACTAGGCAGGGAACATGGAGACAGACTGACTGGGATAGGAGAAAAGGATGGGCTTACTGTAGACCGTGGTAAATGTCTGAGAGACACCAGCTGGCAGGTCTAACATACAGACTGCAGGTAGGTAAGCTATCTGAAGATGATGAGAGGTGTGACTTGTATAGCAAAGTGGTAGTTGTTTGCGATCCTAGTTCCTCAACTTAAGAGTTCTGCAACCCTGAGCAGATTTCCTGCCATCTCCAAGCCTCACTCAGTCTCGTTTATAAAATGGGAAAAAATAAAGGTTGTTCTGTTCTAGGGATGTTGTGAGGATTAAATGAGGCAATATATGGACAGCACTTAGCATGGTATCTGGCAAACAACAAATACATAATAAAGATGTTAATGATGATAGTAAATGGAATCCAGGTCTGATACACCCACATTCCTAACTCTACTGTAGAGCTAGTGAAAATAATTACATGGGCAGACACTTCCTCCTTTGGGGGATGCTGGAGTACTATCTGATATCCCCTACCCGCTCCCTGGTTTCTTTTTCAAACATACCGAACTAGTTAATCCAAAGGGCTCCCATCAGATTTGCAACAATACAATAGATAGTGACCAAGTTGTGCCCAGCCATTCATTATTGCTAGATTAGGTTACAGTCCCATCCTGTCTCTTCAATTCCCTATTGGTTTACACCTGAGAAATTGAACCCCAGCACATAATATCCTGAGCCTGCCCCCTAGGTCCCCGGGAGGATTGTGATTTCCCTTATCTGCCCACTTATTTTTTTAGGACCAAAACTCTTTCTCATTTAAATATAGATTCTCTCTCAATTTCTCCCATATGGGACCAACATTCGAGAACTCCTCCCAACAACCCCCCCACCAACTGTGCTCCTAAACAGATTATAAACCACGAGTTTACAAGTTCCTTCATGTGTAATTCTTCCCTGAGCCCCTGGGCAGTGCCCCTTCCATAGCATGACCAAGCTATTTTCTCACAATTTATGCAACACTGTGTTGTATCTTTTTTTTTTTTTTTAAGATTTTATTTATTTATTTGACAGACAGAGATCACAAGTAGACAGATAGGCAGGCAGAGAGAGAGGGGAGGAAGCCGGCTCCCTGCTGAGCAGGGAGCCCGATATGGGGCTCGATCCCAGGACCCTGAGTTCATGACCTGAGCCAAAGGCAGACGCTTACCTGACTGAGCCCCCAGGTGCCCCCTGTCCCATTTCTTATACTGATTACCCTTAAGCCTCTGGGTCAAGGGATGGGGCCAGTGCATGACGATGATGATGACAGCTAAAACTTACTGAGCACTGACTGCCAATTACTGAGCTACATACCATCCCTATTTCGGATGCCGATGTGCACAACAGAACCGTGGGGTAAGGGCTATTATCTAAACTGCAGAGTTAACTGGGGCACAAGATGCTGGAGCATATGCTGAACCAGAACTTAACCAGATGTATTGCGCTGCAGAGCTCCTACTCTTAGCCGAGGACGAACCACAAGGGAAAGGCAAAGTGTTGTTCACCTCTTCCTAGGGACGCGCATGAGGTTCTTAGGAGCCAGCCTCAACATGGTGATTCCATTTTTAGATACAACATTAAATCGGAATAAGTCATGCCGGCTTATTTTGAGCTTGGGCAGCCAAAAAAAACCTCTTGGCACTAGCCAACCCAGTGACCTAGGGTACGTCACTTTCTTCCGGGTTTTGTATTTAAAGATAAATTTAGAACTTGCTCCTCTTCCAACTGCTGCACTGAGGGAGTTCTTAGTGACTTCAAAGCTGAGGTCTGGGACAGTCTAAGGTGCCGACTTTGCACAGGAAACCCCTAAATAAGAAGGCTGAGGAAGGAGGGTGGAAAGATCATATTATTTTGTGGAACAAACCCAACAGAACATGTTCTATGTGCGTTATATTGTAATCATTGGCACAGTACTATAAGCTCCTGAAAGAAAATGCTTTGAGAGCCACGCAAGTTCCTCTGATCAAGAGAAGGAGCTTTCGAGCAGTGGATATAAAAAGCAACACTGGGAATATTCTATATAATAGATAATAACAGGGATGTCCAGTTTATAATCATCAGAGCTGGTGAACTTCTATCCCAAAGTTGGGCAATCAACATGTCCTGTCTGTCCAGCCACAGCAATTGGTCCAAGGGTAGACATCTGAACCACCTAAGAACATCCTGTGCATTTCCCAATGCAGACCCGAGGGCAGAGAGTCAGCCCCTTTCTGGCCCACAAGCTTTGGAATTTTCGATAGCCACATTCCCACTAAACTAAGGAAGCAAGTCTGTAGACAAAGAGAGTCAAAGACACATCCAGACACCTATGGGGCACTAGGATTCAGGTTCCAATGGTCCCTGAGGCTGTCAACTTTGCCTTTCCCTCTGTACTGTAAAGAGGGTCTGTAGCTTATCAGTAAATCTCCCTTTGTCTGTAAGGTCAAGCTGAGGTTTTATCAACTGCAATGAAGAGACTACTGATTAAAATGAGGTGGAGCCCAGAAAAGGTCTATCAGGATAACAAACTCACAGGGGTCACGCCAGAAGGTAAGCCAGGTGGAGATGAAGGAAGTGAACCGAGCAAAGAAAGCAAACTAGGGAGGGGACTGCTCAGCCTAAAGATAGTCAGAATCAGTGATTTTTTTTTTTTTTACTATTCCATTATATATGTTTATTATAATATATAATGTTATTTAAATTTGTCATTAACAAAATTGAAGCTTCAAAGTATTTCTAATATTCAGCCTGTAGTTTTGTGTTTCCCCTTTTTTTATTATAATAAAAAATAAAATAGATTCAGTGATTTTCTAAAGATGCCTGTCAGGCACAGATTGCCTCCTGCTGATCTGGGTCCTTCACCTCCCACTCTGGAGCATGCAGATACACTAGAAAAGGACAGCCTTGGCCTGGATCAGTCCCACCCAACTCCTCCCCGACCTGAGGCCTGCATTAGCTGAAATCCTATCAGCAAGAGCTCCCCAGCACCTTCCTGTGCCCCTCTGCAGTCTTGGCCACACTAGGAATTACTTAGGTAAAGCTGGATTCCAGTCCTGCCTGTGACACTTAGTTGAGTCTCTGTGCCTCAGTTTCCTTACCAATCAAAAGGGGACAGTAATAGGCTCAATCTCCTATAAAATGTAAATGAATACACTTAGAGTGATGCCTTTTGGAGCACACGGGAAATGCCGCGAAAGCGTGAGCTGTCATGATTCTCAAGAGTTCTGAAAGCACCTACAAGATAAGATTTATGTGTCTTGTTCAAGGGGGTACGTCCTGTGGCTGGCATAGTGTCTGGGACAGAATAGGCCTTCCCTACTAAACTTACTCTCTGTTCCCTTAGAAAGGTAACATATACAATACGGGTTTTAGATTATAGGACCTTAAAAATCATGTTGACAAGTAAGACTTCTCCAGAGAAGTGAAAACTTCACAGGCTCAAAGAACAATGTGTGAGCTGCACACCCACAGGTAAGAAAAGTCTGAGTTCTGGGCTCTGCCAATGCGTCCCTTTCCTTCGCAGGGTCCTTAGGGCTAATAACTATGACGGTTAGATTATTTTCTCAGTTTAAAAAAATCTAATAAGCAATAGCTTCCTTCCAGGCAAGTTGAATTTCATGTAACAAGTCTTTGCAGGAGACCAGTTAAAGGGGTTGGGAGTGAAAGCAAGCTAGCAGACGTCAAAGATGGGAATTTGTGCAAAAAATGTGCACCTCTATTTCTGCTGTCTCTGGGTTCATGAGGTTACCTTTACCTGCTACCCTCGCGTCTCTATATTATCTTCTTCATTTATGATGCACAGGCAGAGAGAATGGAGGAAAAAGCCAAGAGCTTTCCTCTTGTGACTCTCAAGAAGGGAACAGACCTCGCTGTAAATCTACTGTCTTTTTTATGACCAGGAAAGGGGAATTTATGTAGGCAAATCTCAAGTGATTTTTCAGAAATACAAGATATAAAGTACAATGAGCTGTGAAAAATGCCTCATATCTGAATGCACTTGAACTCTGCCATTGGCAATTTGCATACTGTCACAAGAGAGAGGCCGGTGCTGACTCAGACACATTGTCTCTGGCTTCTTACAAGGGAGTTCCTAGGCTCTTGTTACAGATGCAGTTTTCATAGAGGATCTGAAACAGAGAGTAAGATTCGCACAGTGACATCTGCTCCCCTAGCTGAACCAGAAATCCTGCAGTTCTCGACGGACTACACGTTGGGGATAAAAATGGATTTTAAGTACACAGTCCAGCTGTTTAAAAGTGAGCAGGATATACATCTGAGAATTCCAGCGTGGAATTAAGACCTATAATCATCAGAAACACATTTTAACCTATTTTTCCAAACTTGGATGCCAGCACTTTAAAAACACTTAGGAATAATTTTTAATCAAGCCCA